CCTTCACAAAAAAGGACCCTTGACGTCTGGGACAACAAAATCCCTGTGTTGAATGTTTGTAATGCCAAAAATTGTTATGAAACGCGAAAGGGCACGAGAGGACAACAGGGCATTTAAACTGTTTACAAACAAACTCGTGTTACTAGGGACCTGTTGCGAAAATGCCGAATATAAATGAATCTAATCAGCATCCAGATTGTTTACATTACTTTGTAGATAACGATGGGTATGATTGCGGGTACCTACTTACCTACAAACTTGACGAAAAATTTGGACGAATCATCCTATCTGCCTGCCGCCATCTTGTCTAACGCGTCACTCCAATGTGACGCATGATGACGTCATGGCTTTATTTAGCGTTCGGGAAATTTCCACCAGTCAGAAGAGACCTCTTGCGACTCTTGTAAGGAGTACAGCAGTCTGGTCATAAAGTGCAATACATGTACATGTAACGTTACATGTATTTCGATCAGGCCTCAAGAGTCACAAAGTCCACGTGATAAATACCAGGCATTAATCGTTGTCAATAAAGATCGTGATTCTTCCATAAATTACTTGTATTCTTTTCTTTCTGCTGTTCAAGGAGCCATGTACATGTAACGTTACTATGTTGTTCCATTTTATTGAATTACAATGTACGTAACAATAATAAGTAGAATGCAGTACACGAGACTCAATACAACAAAATGTGATGTAATTTTCGATGATATATCCTTTATTGATCATGAGAATGCAACACAGTATAGTCATACACGAAGAAAGCATCTTCGGAATGATTCACATCGTGCACAAAGATCGTGGCTAATTGCTCTACTGTCCTCTTGATATCTTTTGCTTCAGGCCACCGTTCACAATGCATCATCAATTGCAAGCATGCATGGTCACAACTTTTATCTGTTCACAAACAAGCATGTCTAGATCTGACAGTTTGCACACACGTAATATAATAAGCTGATGATCAATACCATTGTGTTTTGTCAAAGATACCAATGACAGTTTGAAGACATTTTTTTTTCAAATTGATCGACCAATCCAGCGCAGTAGCAAATAGCAATCTGAATTAGCTTGAAATTCACATCCTGTGTGCAACCTCGTATGCAAACTTTAGTTTAGCTGCCGAGGCTTTCGTCATTTCTGCAAATTTCGATGGAGTCGATCGACGGAAGAGACTTCCGGCATCCACAGAAAGTGTACCGCTAATAATAGAATAAACGTCAGCCTTTTCTGAGTTTAGCCATCTGTATATATATATATAGTGCTACCCAATGAGCTTAAAAACAATATTGGCATATACAATGTATATAGTGCGCCCTATGCAACTAGCGTCTGTATGACCTCTTAGGTCTCCAAATGACTACTTTATTACGGTGATGTTACGGTTGAAAACACAACACGATGACATTCGTCTGGAACTAACTCTACTTTGTTCTGGTGCAATGTCAGTGTCAGTATCAAACGAAATATGTGCATCGCAGGTATATTATATGTATCCGAGGCCAAAGAATTAACAAATTTACAGAATCAGAACAAAAGTACTTTCCAGTCCCTTACGGCGAGGTCACATTCATCGTAGGTCGTCGCAATTGATTTAAGAAGACTGGACAGGCAGCCTTCTCGGTAGCAAGACAGCTGATTATGAATTTTGTACATGACTATCCCAAGAACGAATGACATCAGAGTGACTAGTCGTAAGCTCTCACGGGCGAGAGACCTTTTTTTCGTTTTATATCTTTTTTTTTTAACTTGTTACATGTAACTACCAACACAGATGAACCTTCATGATAGTAAAGAATGACCTCAGTTTGCGATTGTATGACGACCATACGACGAATGTGACCGGGCCCATATGCAACATCCAGCCAACAGCTAGGGTCAGGCGCTAGGCATCTGGTTGAGCTCGCGGTACTCGGGCCCTTTACTCTGCAGCCTGCGCACCTTGCTCTGTGCCTTCCCGGCCCGCACTGCGCACACGATGGCGACGATTATCCCCAGCACACCGATAGCCGCCCCGACAATACCGACTATCACAGGCGTACTCGCCCAATCAACTGGGTAGCAAGAAAAAACAGAGAGATGTGAATATTATTGGTCTGCTATCTTCTGAAGACATGCAGAATGAAAATTAATCATTATTTAATATGAGTACACCACTGACGGACAGAATGACTGACATTGGATTCTGACAGCCTGGCAGTGTCCTTTACATAGCATAGCTTCCAGACTTTGTCCATGGGCCAAGTGAGCAGGCGTTCCTTACACACATGGCCACTTCCACTACATGGAGCCTGCGACCGATGAGCGACCAGATATTTGACAGATCTCTCAACGAATTTCATAGACAAAGAATGGATTTTTTGTTCATTTTGTGAGCTTTGTTGTCTTTTAAATCATGATTTTGCACCGTGCATTATATTCCAATCACAAAATCAATGACGATGGCCACACATATATCCAATATATTTTTTGTCACTTAACGGTTGTTCTGCGATCGCCTTCCGTATAGTGGAAAGTAGGCATAAGGAAGCTGTGGGGGAAGTTGCTAGCTGACATGTTACCCTATTGTTTATTACCCTATCATTCTTATATAGAAAGTTTACTTTGATACAAACGATTACAATCAAAGCGTTCTGGCCCTGGATTTTGCAGTGCTGATGATGAGTAAGACTTACTCATGTCGCCCTGGCCATTGCCCGCTCCTGTTGGTGATATATCGGTGGTGTGTGTGTACGGGTGGGACACGCGGTCGGTGACGTTCCCGTCCGTAGTCATTGTCAAGTTCCCATCATTGGCGTGCACGCGACTTTCAAGTGCGAGTAGAATAAAGATGGCACAGCAGAGATGGCTGATGATTTGTTTTAGCTCCATGTCCCCTTGAAGTGCGTTCTGTTGGATTGGAAATAATGGCTAACATGTTAACTTTTGATACTGATGTACTATATTACGCCGCTTCCCCCCAAAATGCAATAATGTCCGCCTGACAAGGGAGGGGGTAATTGTCAAGCAGCCGAGAGCCGGGTGCACGAGTAATTTGCAAGTTGAGGAGACTGCGCCCGAGGTATCTACTGGTACCACTCTCTTTCTCCGTCAGGACCATCCAAGGCTTCCTGTACAACGTGGTACGAAGGACGTTGACTGAATTCTTTCGTAGGCAAGGTGAATGACCCATTTAGGTTTATGAGCGACAAGTCCAAGACTGGCTCTGTTAAACTGTAACCAAAGTAAACACTGAACTGTAGATTGAACTCGAGTCTGAACATGAATACAGTTTGAAGAAGCTGTAAATTGGTTGTAGTTCCGATCTTTATATATATATATATATACCGATCGGAAGAGCGTGGAAAACGTGGACACATTACGACGTAGTGTGCAGATAAACACTGCACCTTAAGGGATGAGGGGCCCAACTGTATCAAATAAGACATCTCAAACCTCGCTCCTTATCTGTAATGTTTGGCTCCCTTTTCATGCGTGCATGCTTCTGTCAGACTGCATCGTAAACGTGTCAGCCGATAAAAAGCCGTCCTCAAACACAACCGTTAATAATTGGCAAACAGTATCGTGTGTGCGAATTGTTCCCCCGCCATCCGCAACCACTATGTATAAGAAAACTGTTACTGCCGATAATTGAATTGTGATCGCTAGCTTTTCTTTAGGCTGCAAAAATTTTCAATTCTTTTGGTTTATAAGCATGTATTTGTGTGCTCCTTTCCTGATGTGTTAAAATACTTCCAATCCTATATAAACGATATTAAAAAAATTCATTATTCATACAAAACATGAAATGCAACTACAGTACTCCCTGCATAAAAAGAACTTTATACGTTACCTATCCTTATAGTAAACAAATTATGAGAAGTATAGAGCCTTAATTATCCTACATCACCAGACGCTAGCTGTGTGTTGTAAAATGTAAAAAACCACCCAGGGAACTAACAAAGACTCTTACACCCCCTACACACATATGGATGAAGTAAGGAAAAGTCCGAAGGTGAGCCGTATACTCCAGGACGTGACCCACATGTGGTCAGACCTTACACCATGTTCCTTTCTCTCAACCTCTCGTGTTCCGTGTTATGTTTAAAACTCGTTCAGGGATCGATAAAACGGTAGGGAATTGCCAACGAGATATGCCTATTCGGAGGTTACCTGCTGCCCGAAAGTTCGTAACTGTACAGTTCGTCAGACTAGTTCCGTTACGCTGTTAACTATTAACATCAGCACGCATGATAAAAGAAAGTATAGACATGTTGAAAAACACGTTAAGAAGGACGTTTCGAGCACCTCTTTAAGCAGATCCAGACGTCAAAAATCAAGACTAAACTGGTTTGTCCAGGAGAATAGCAAGAGATGTAGAACTAGGATTTTACCTGTTTTCAGCCTCGATATCCGGTCCAACTCTACAGGTGTACCAGCCAAGTGTAAGGTACCGACTTACGTCAGCTCGCCCAGTGCGCATGCGGGACGTTGTTAATCACCCTTGTAGTTTGAACAGGTCGTTAAATCGTTGACACGCTGTGTCAATATTTACCTCTAAGTACGTGGACGTAGTTTGGCCTGACTTTGAATGCCGGTGGAAAAGCACTTAGATTCAGACGATATCTATTTTTGAAGGACGGCTCGCTACACTTGTACAGGTTTTTGGTCTGTGTGGTAGATATGTGTGGCATTTATCGATTTGTGGTTGTTACCTCAAGATGGAAAGGTGGTCTTGTGGCTGATTGTTGATTCAGAATCAGAAGGTTCTGGGTTCTAATCCCTGGCGAGACCCACTATTGTGTCCTTGGAAAAGGCATTTAACACCTATTTCTCCACTGACTGGGGTAAATTGAGTGGTTTATGGTAGTGTAGACAGGGCAATCTCCTTGACCTTTATTTACAGGATCCTGGAATTTAGGCTACCACTCTTTGCCTATAAAGTCTATAAAAATGCTAATTCAGCTGCAAATTTTAACCCATGTAGGTAACCTCTCTAGCCATTTCTCAACCATTTGTTAACTTATTTAAGATTTACCACATTTGTGGAAGTATTGACATAACAATTGACTATCACTTCTTCAAAATGTCAAACCTGAGACCAGACTGTGAGGTTTGAACCACTCACACACAAGATGACCTTGCCCACAACTAGCTCCCACCCATGGTCTGTAGAGGTGTATGTGACAGGAGCTTTAGATTGTCATATCCTCACTGAAATCAGCATCCTTAACATTCACACCAACACACAATTGATCAGTGAAGTAAGTTGGACAGAAACAGGACGCAGCATACAAGACCAGTTTTATTAGACAAGACTGGCTGTAGATGTTGATGCTGGTTCCCGTGTTGCTCTAAGCATCAGCGATGGTCACCTCCACCTCAACACCAGGCTCGATGCTGATGGATGTCTGGGGCACAGTCAAGGACCTTGTACAGAAGACCATTTTTCAAAAAGCATGCTGATAACAGATGTTATTTCATCATAAAGTAAGGTAATCCTCTGGCATGCAGTACTATATATTTTGAAATCTTTGCTGTGTTTATAGTCTGTTGATTTCACAATAACCTCTCACCACCAACTCATCACACTGTAAACTTGTCCTGCTATCATTGTTTTAAGCTGCAAAGTCAAAGATTAAGAATACTCTTATGTTCACCATTTTGGGAAATTTGTGTGCTGTAAATTGAAATGAATTTACAGTATATTATAGGAAATCTAACAGGATAATAATAATCAGAGACCTGTCTACCACCTCCAAAATATGATTCAGAACTTCTGAATTTCTCTCCACCACAAAAAGGATACGATCTGCTTGACGATCTCGGAGGGGCTGTGCAGATCGATCAGGCGCTTGTGGATGCGCATCTGGTAGCGGTCCCAGGTCTTGGAGCCCTCACCACAGGGGGTCTTACGGGTGGTGATGCGCAGGACCTTGGTGGGCATGCGGACAGGCCCCTTCACCTGGAGGTTCTTCTCCTTTGCACCACGGATCAGATCAGCACACACTGGACAAAAACACAGACTAGAACTTACCATGGGATAACATCCACCCTGACCAGCATGCTCTGTGATATCTTATAATTATATAATCATGTCCTCATCAATTTCAAAGGGAGAAACTGAGTCCAAATATGTAAATATTTCTTGTAAACAACCTTCACATTGGGGATTATTTCCCATAAGAAGATAACAGTGTCTAGGTCAGATACATTCTTTACACATATGACAGAATTGAGGTTTCTCTCCTAACACTCAGTATTGTTTAACTCAAGAATTTTCTTCCTTCTCCATCATAACTTTTCACGTATTTCCTATATTCTAATTTAGGTTAAGCCAGGGTTCTAGCTAGGACTGGGGTAAGCATCTCACCTTTCTCCAGACTCTTAACGTTGCGGCTGGTGAGAGTGATCCTGATGCGGTGGATCTGAGTCTCCTCCATGGGGGCCTTGCCCGAGTCTGCACCCTTCTGGTATGCCTACATGATTTGGAATGAGACCCTGAACCTTTAGATCATGATGATGTCAGATGAAGAGATGTTCAAGAAATATCTTAAACCTCATTCTGTAACTAGTGTAAGTTGACGTACTATAGCCTTAGTCTATACAGACAATTTTTCTATAACTTGTAAGTCAGAAAAACGGGGCACACTGATGATTGTACTACTACATATAGTATCTGCTTGGAGATTTGCGGCACCGTACAAAATTTGCACCACGTGGGTTCATAAGTGATCCAAGATTGTTGAAAATCTGGACGCTTTACACCAAATTTACAACAGTAGAGAAGTGCTTTGATGTCTATGGAAGTCCGATGTACAGTTTCTTACCATCGCTGAGGTTTCCTGGCCGACTTATTCACGAAAGAACAGCGGTGAGCCAGGGAGACTTGGATACAAGATGGTTTCCACTTGCAAGTTGGCGGAAAGAGAGAGTGCAACGAAACGCGAAAAATAATTTCTCAGATATAACACTGATATCAAACCACAAGGTATCTATAACACCCAAATTAATACTATAAAAAGAAACAAAAATATTGATACAAAGTACATGAATGTTCATCATCAGTATTCATGTATAAGGACATTACTTAACAAAAATTTTATTTCATTTACGTTTTTCTGTGATAAATCAGCTGACATGTCAGAACGGAGCAAATTTTTGTAGTATATAGAATGGATAAATACTAATAAATTCGATAATAGCTACCAATGTGACAAAAGATGTATTTTTGACTCTATCTTTGTAATTTTAGCCATTTTTAGTCTATCCGTTTTTCATGACTCTGATGACGTCATCGCATCCACGTTGGAGTCCAACATGGCGGAAGAGGTAGGTTGGGAGTTACGAACGCAGCAACATTTCTTGTTTTGTGGTGTTTATCTGTACACATGTCGCACCCAGGCACAAGCTATAGGTGTGTTGGTACACACAGATATGTCTCTTTTCAGCACAGTGTCAATAGTTTGACACATAGTCCAAAATTCGTCAAATACGAGTAGTAATTAGCCGGCTTCTCGACCTTACGCGTGGCAAATCCCGGCAAGTTAGTTCTGCCTGGGGGGACATTATGATGTTTCGGATTAAAATCACATGTTTTACGTCGTCGGAAAATTGGACTAACTCTTGCTCATCTTGTATTTCTCGTACATTGTCAAGTGGAAGTAACATACTCCAGATGAAGAATAAGTTTGTATCATAGCGTGGTTTAGAAAAAGGCCAAAAAATTGGGACAAATTGGGAGAGGCGTGATTTTGTCTACAAAACTTGTTAGACAAGTTTCGCTAGCAAGCCTTGACAAGCTAGTCTTGCCACGACAACTCAGCTCAGCATAGATGTTATGAAGTGAATGGCATTTTTGTGGCCACGTCCTGTAATGAAGGCCTTCATATAGAACGATCAAGTTTTGACGAAGCGGGACATAATTTTGAATTGTGCATGTGTGAAAGCGGAGTGCTTCTGTGGGCGGGGTGAGGTCATATCCGTTTCACCTTGTGTATGTCCAAATAATTCTTCAGTTGTAACTTTGTCATTGGTGGCAGCCTGGCAGGCGATAGTCTTTCCCAACTCTTAGATTTATCTAACTATTCTGGGTTACTGATCCATAGAGTATAATGAAGACATGGCAGCTCATCTGTCATTAGCAAAAGGCTTTAATGATTAAACTTTGCATTCAGTAATGTATTCAGTATGGTTACCTTGAATAGCATTGACTGACTGAGGGTGCCATGACTAACTGGCCTAAATCATGTAGTAGATGTAGGGGTTACAAAGCCAACTCTTACCAAAGGTCAATCTTACACCCAAATGGACTGACATGTTTATAGTACAGTACCATGGTAGGAATGGATAAAACAAGTTGCATATATAAATTTTTAATGTGGTAAAGTAAGTAAACTGTCTTCAGTGAGCAGTGATAATATCATGTCTTTGTTAGACTGACTACTAAAGTGATATATTTCAGACATGGAATTGACCTTTCATTTCTGATTTGGTAGATAAACCAAGAATTGATTTTTTTGTCATTTTCTGATTAAACTATGTTACAGAGAATGACAGCTATGCTGGTGGTGTTACTGTGCCTATGTGTGCCACCAGCCCTTGGATTCTATGTGCCTGGTGTGGCACCAGTAGAGTTTACTGCTGGGATGCCTGTGGATGTCAAGGTACTTACTACTTCTTCACATTTTGTAGCTAGATTTCATCAAACATTCATTCAATCACCAAAGCCAACGTACATGTATTACAGAGACTACCATGCTGTGTTTACCTTTAAATGTACATATACTTTTGGCTTAATTCAAAACACAGGCCACAATCATGAGACAAGAGAATAATGAAAATAAAATATCACTTGCATGGCAACCATGCCATTAACCAATCAGTTGAATTGTCTAACATTTTCTTATGTAAACTTTATAATAAAAAAAAAACTGTGAGCTTAACGTGGCTTAACTGTTGCATTTGTTGGCAGGCTGTTAAGATGACCAGTACAAAGACCCAGCTCCCATACGAGTACTACTCAGTGCCATTCTGTCAGCCAGACAAGATCAAGTACAAGGCTGAGAACCTGGGAGAGGTTCTGAGAGGAGACAGAATTGTCAACACACCATACCAGGTAAGGCAGAGACCAGGTCGAAGAACTTTTGGTGCTTGAGAATGGGACAGAGTGAAGCTATGCTAAAATGCACGTAAATGTACATTTATTTGCTAAAGATGCCTTGATGAAAAAACAACAACATTGGTTTGCTGTTAAATTCTAATTAATACTCATTGCCTATTTATCCTTTTATCTTTCACCATGGTAAGTTATCAATTTGGTGATAGTAGCTATCCTCATAAATGTGTAGGACATGACAGCTTTTTTTCAGCCTTTTACAGGTCAACTTCACACCTAACCTTACTTTTAACTTGCTGCTACTCCCAGGTTCTTACAGACCTGGTGATTTTCAATGTACATTCTTAACTGTTAACAGGTGAACATGAAGGAAGACAAGACATGTGAGGTGCTGTGTGTTAAGCCAGATAAGACATTAAAGTGGAGCAAGGCAGAGTCAGACCTGGTAGCAGAAAAGATCCGTCAGGACTACAGCATTCACTTGTAAGTACAACATTATCACAGTTTTATTTATTGTTATGAGTACCAAAAATTTGTGATCTCCTTTTTGTGTCTAGGTTTCACCATCTGCAAACATTTAAGATCTACAGTACAAACAAATGTATTTAGCTAGTCATTGCTGTATGTTAAAAAATTACATATTCGAGTGTTATATATCATGATCATACTCGCACAAAACTGTCTTAGAATTTCACTGCTTACAATTGAGTGGTTGTATTTCTCCAGTATTGCAGACAACCTCCCATCTGCTACAAGGTTTGAGATGCTGGACACAGGGCAAGTCATGTATGAGCACGGCTACAGGATCGGATATGTGGTGGACAATGTGGTAAGTCCTGCTCTGACTCTGATGTTTGAAGTTTTATATATTTGATGTCATTTGATTCGTAAGTTTTATGTATAATATCATTCATCTGTTATACATTGCTTTGATTTGAGTCTTGTAACTATTCCATTTTATTTCATATGTAAAGTGGATTGTAGGCAGATATCTGTTTACCAAGTGTCTGAATCTCATGTTGAAATTCTTCTGTTTTCAGCCATACATTAACAACCACTTGAAGCTTGTGTTGCACTACCACACAGAGGATGAGTAAGTAATAAAGGGTTAATGCACCGCCCCGAGGTGTATATGGTGTCATAAATGCATGGTCAGCTGCTATAACCACCGAATAAACCACCGAGTGAGCGAAGCGAACGAGGTGGTTTATGAGGTGGTTATAGCAGCTGACCATGCATTTATGACACCATATACACCGAGGAAAAGGCGGTGCATT